CCCGCCCGCCGCTCTGTCCGCCGCGCACCTCCGCTCGCCCCTCGCCCCGCTCCGGCCGCCGCCTCACGGTGAGTACCCGGCGCGGTCGCCCGCCACCCCGTCCCAGGGCCCTGCCGGCTTGTTTTCGTTTAGTTCCCATTTGGGTTCTTGTGGCTGTTGTTTTTATCATCAGACCTAACGAGTCTACAGTCTCTCGAGTCCGCTGCTGCCAGCTTCGCCCACCCTCAGCTCGCCCCCTAAGACCCTGGAGAGGACCCGAGTTCTCTCAGCTGGCCCTGGTTGCTGAGCCTTTGCTGATGGCCCCGCTCGCAGGCTTCCCTCTGGGCCCCTGACATTCTGTGTCTTTCTCAGGGTCCCGATTCCCTGGAACCTGGGCCCAGAGCCCCCTTGTCCCACTCGGGAAAAGCCCCGCGAGGATTCGGCCCCGCAGCTTGGAGAACACGTTCAGCTCCACGCGCTCCGTTCATTACATGCGGGCCAGGCGCACTTGTCGATTTCGGGAAACCGGGACGCCACTGTTCTTTCCCGGAGGCTGCTCTCTGGGTCACCTCACCTCCCTAGCCCGCGTGGGAGTCCCTCAGAAGACAGCAAGGCTTCTCTCACTTTCCCCTCAGCGAGGGGAGTTAGAACTTGGGCCTTGTCTTCTGAAATGTTACAAGGGACTTCAACTCAAAAGAAGGGTCAACTTGTTTAAATTCGATCCGTAAAGATCAAGATGGAACAAACAGATAGCAGATAAATAGCCTGATACTTGAAGAAGGCACGAAGACAGATGGGACAAAGAGGATTGAGCTGGAGGAGACAGGCAGTTCAGGGACAGATAAGATCACCAACAGATGAGGAACACTTAGATAAATAAAGAGGGGAGAGACAGAGGATCCCAGTCTGCTCCAGAAGGCTTTTGACCCAGCACCCCCTGGCTGGCGGAACCTGCCCTGGGAAAATGCCTTTGCCTTTCTCGCCAAGTTTAGGCAGTGGGCCGCCCAGCGTTGGGAGGCTGGGACGCCTGGAGCTGAGGGCAAAGGCAGAACCATCGAGGTCTGAGGACACGCGGCTGGGCCGGGAGACCTAGAGGTTCCCGAAAGCATCAGTCCTTCGCCCCTTCCTGCCTTGGCCACGGAGTAAAGTGGGAGCCTGGCAGCAACTTCCGTGCCCGGAGGCTCGCAGCGGCTTCAGAATCGGCCTGGCATGCCTCCAGTGCACGCGAGTGGAAACCAGGGGGCATGGAGGGCATTCGGAGTGGAGAGCCCCCGCCCCCGAAAGAGGGAGCCCAGCATCGCCGCAATCTGCACTTGGCCTGAGCAGGAGGCACATATCTGAAGAAGAAACTCGGGGACTGGATCACTGCACGCAAACGAGAAAAGGTGGCTCCCGAGAAACTTCCCTGACAGCCTCTGAGCCCCGGTGGTTGACCCCGCTAGAAACCAACTTTGACCCGGAACGTGGCTAAAATGCACGCCGCGTGCCTAGGAACTGCGTAGCCGAGGCCCAGCGAAGACTAAGGGGGGAACGGTGTCTAGGCTCCACCGGAATCTTTCTGCTCCACGAACGCTGGGCGCCGGGAGTGGGAGTAGGCGCTCGGGTTAGCAGAAGCCGGAGCTGCGGTTCCGGGGAGCGAGCTCGGCCAGAGCTGCGCGCCCGTAGAGACTGCCCTGGGGTGGGCGCCCCAGTGCGCTTTGGAAGGGTCGGGTTCAGCACCTCGAACAGCACTCGCCTCCTGTCCTCCCTCCCCCACGGCCGGGTCCCTCCCCTCGTCCCACCTCCCCACCCCAGCTGCCAGGAGATGGCCAGTGACCGCCCCTCCCCCGCCTCCCAGCCCTTCCCGGCGCGGCCCGGGCCCGCGGCGTGCTTGCGCGGCTGAGCACAGGGGCGGCGGGTCCCCCAAGTCCGCGCTTCAGAACCCTGACCGGCAGGGCAGGCTGCGAGGGGGGACCGAGGTCTCGGCAGTGGCTTTGCTGTGTGGCCTTGGGCAAGTCCCTCTCGGTCTCTGGGCCTCAACTTCCTCCCCAATGTGTGAACCGGCTTGGGTTCCAAATAGCTTGAGCATTCCTGTGGTCTGCGTTACTCCCTCTCCTTCCCTAAACCCCGGGGGCTTTTGTTCAGGCGCCAGAACGTGTCAGAATAACAAAAGGCGCCGGTCCGGGGAAGCGAATGAGCTCCGGCTCCCCATTGCCAAGTTTCCCCCGCGCGCCTGACTCCCGGCGCCCCGCTGGGCGGGCCCCGGCGGCGGCGACGCCGCTGAAAATGGCTCATCTGCTCTCTGCTTTCTCTTGTTCCGCAGGAGCGGCGGCATGGAGGCGCTCACCACCCAGCTGGGGCCGGCGCGCGAGGGCAGCTCCTCGCCCACCTCCAAGCAGGAGCTGCAGCCCTACTCGGGCGCTAGCGCTCTCAAACCCAACCAGGTGGGCGAGACGTCGCTGTACGGGGTGCCTATCGTGTCGCTGGTCATCGACGGCCAGGAGCGCCTGTGCCTGGCCCAGATCTCCAACACCCTCCTCAAGAACTACAGCTACAATGAGATACACAACCGGCGCGTGGCCCTGGGCATCACGTGCGTGCAGTGCACGCCGGTGCAGCTGGAGATCCTGCGGCGCGCCGGGGCCATGCCCATCTCGTCGCGCCGCTGCGGCATGATCACCAAGCGCGAGGCCGAGCGCCTGTGCAAGTCGTTCCTGGGCGAGCACAAGCCGCCCAAGCTGCCCGAGAACTTCGCCTTCGACGTGGTGCACGAGTGCGCGTGGGGCTCGCGCGGCAGCTTCATCCCCGCGCGTTACAATAGCTCCCGGGCCAAGTGCATCAAGTGCGGCTACTGCAGCATGTACTTCTCCCCCAACAAGTTCATCTTCCACTCGCACCGCACCCCAGACGCCAAGTACACGCAGCCGGACGCGGCCAACTTCAACTCGTGGCGCCGGCACCTCAAGCTCAGCGACAAGTCGGCCACGGACGAGCTGAGCCACGCGTGGGAGGACGTCAAGGCCATGTTCAATGGCGGCACGCGCAAGCGGACCTTCTCGCTGCAGGGAGGCGGCGGGGGCGGCGGGGCGAGCAGCGCCTCGGGCGGCCCGGGGAAGGGCGGTGGTGGCGGCGGCGGTGCGGGGGGCCCCGGGTGCGGCGCGGAGATGGCCCCGGGTCCGCCGCCCCACAAGAGCCTCCGCTGCGGGGAAGATGAGGCGGCTGGGCCTCCGGGGCCTCCACCTCCGCACCCACAGCGAGGCCTGGGTCTCGCAGCTGGCACTGGCCCGGCGGGCCCCGGAGGGCCGAGTGGCGGCGCGGGCGTGCGCAGCTACCCGGTGATCCCCGTGCCCAGCAAGGGCTTCGGCCTCCTGCAGAAGTTGCCCCCGCCACTTTTCCCGCACCCCTACGGATTCCCCACGGCCTTCGGCCTCTGCCCCAAGAAGGACGACCCGGTGCTGGGTGCAAGCGAGCCCAAGGGCGGCCCTGGCGCCGGGAGCGGCGGGGCTGCGGGCGCCAGCGGGGGCGCAGGGGGCCCGGGAGCCGGCCACTTGCCCCCGGGGGCCGGGGCAGGGCCCGGCGGAGGTGCCATGTTCTGGGGGCACCAGCCCTCCGGAGCAGCCAAGGACGCTGCGGCCGTGGCCGCAGCCGCCGCCGCCGCCACGGTGTACCCGACGTTCCCCATGTTCTGGCCGGCGGCGGGCAGCCTCCCGGTGCCGCCTTACCCGGCCGCGCAGAGCCAGGCCAAGGCCGTGGCGGCCGCAGTCGCGGC